AGTCGTATTGTGACGTGCGTTTGCCACGTCATCGCATGACGCGAATTGCTGCATAGTATGTTGAGACGCAAATCTAAAGTGATAAATAATACCGGTAGGTAGACTCGCGTCATGCGGAGATAGTGGAAAGTGCAAAGTCGTATTGTGACGTGCGTTTGCCACGTCATTGCATTGTTTTTGTGTTGCGACTTTTAGGCGGCAGGCAGTATGAGCCCAGCGACCGACCAACGACCGCGACCAAGAGCGCTGGACCTTCAACTTTGCAAGTTCGTAGTCGTGCAACTCGAAGAAATAAATGTCCCAAAATCGCAGAACTGAGTCTGTTTGGATTCACTGATATATCAAAGAAAATGAATGAAATCACAGATCTTCTTCTGCATTGATTCACTGATCTATTGTAGACTATAGTATAGGGTATCCAGAGCGCATATCTATCGCTAGCCAGTGATGACGCGGACGCCACGACCCGCGACCTTGTGCGCGGCCTGGTTGGTGGGCTGCTTGATGAACATCATGTTGGTGGGCATGTCGTACTCGTGGCTGAGCCACTGGACGAGCGCGGGTTCAAACTTGCCGTGGATCGTGACCAAGTCGGCCTTGAGCTTGGGGTAAATGCGATCGAAGAGTGCGACCATCTCCTTGAGCGCGGAAATCGCTTCGAGCGCGTCGTCCGTCGGCTCGGCGTACACGTGCACGAACCGGAGCGTGTTGGTCATCTCGTTGCTGCGGACATACAAGATGACCTTGTTGAGTACCGTGAGGTCCGGGGACTTGATGAAGAAGACAAACGGCTGTTCCTTGATGGCCTTGATGGTCTTGACGAGCAGCGACACGCGCGTGTTCTCGCGTTCAAAGAAGCGAATGTTGTCTTCCTTGACGACAATGTCCATCTCGGCGGCGCGACGCTCAATCTCTTCGGTGATCTCGTGCTTGCGACCGCCGCCCGGCAACAAGTTGATGGCAAAGATGAGGCAGCGCAAGATCGTGACGCGCCAGAGCATGCCAAAGACCACGACCGCGACGCCGAGTGCGTAGTAGAAGAAGTAGGCAATCACGGACGGGTCGCCGAGGAGGATGCCAAAGTACCCGATCGCAATCAGCGTCGCGCCCGAGATGCACGCCCACCACGGTGCATGGACGTCGCGCGGAATGTCTTGGCGCTTGATCTTGAGCATCATGCAGCCCATCGCAAAGAGAAACATGAGCGAGAGGAACGAGTACCTGAGACTACCGCCGAGGATGACATTGTCGCCGTTCAAAAGCAAGACGAGCGACGACGTGAGGAGGAAGAAGGCGAGAATGATCCAGTGGTTGGTGCCGCGCCACTTGTTCTCGGCCGCAAAGAACGCCGGCATGACGCGGTCGGACGCAAGACGGCGGTGGAGACCCGTGATGCCAACGTACGACGTCAAGACGGCACCAGACAAGACGACAAACGCATCGATGCAGACGATCCAGACCAGCCAGTTGCCAGCCGTGATCTCGGCCAAGTTGGCGAGCACCGTGTTGGCGTTGGCCTGCAACTCGGCGACGGGCATGACACCGAGGGCGAGGACCGCGAGCGAAATGTTGTAAAAGGCCGAGAACGCCCACATGTTGCGCATCGTTTTGCGAAAGACACCGGGCTGCTGCTGCTCGACAAAGTTGGCCGACGATTCGAACCCCGTCACGCCGAGCATCGACGCCGAAAAGCCAAAGAAGATGGCTGTAAACACGTTACCGTCAATCACCGAGCCGACAAAGTCGACATGCGGGTAGCCCGAGTGCATGTTGTCCGTGATGATCTCCGGGTTCTGGATCGTGTAGATGAGGCACGAGACCGCGAGGACCGAGAGCGTCCCAATGTGAAACGAAAACATCATGAGTGCCACGACGGCCGACTCGGAGATGCCAATGAAGACCAAGACAGCAAACACGCCCATCAAGCCCACGGTGGTCCCGACCACCGGCAGATCCGGCACCACAAACTGCAGGTAGTAGCACGCCGACGTCCCGGACACGACCGCCGTCGCCGTGTACGCGAGCGTACTCAGCACAGCCGCGACGGCCGCGACGCGCTTCGAGGTCGTGTTCAAGAGGCAGTTGTACGACCCGCCGTTCATGGGAATCGCTGTGACCACTTCTTCGTAGATGAAGCGGTACATGTAGAGGACGACCGACACCATGGCCATGCAAATGGGCGCCAATTTGCCGGCCTTCAAGGCGACGATACCAGACGAGTAGAGCACGCTGGACATGATGTCGTTGCCGCAGATAGCCGTCGAGGGCCACTCGCCGAGAAGGTGCTTGGGCTTGTTGAGGTCGTCGCGGATCGCAGCGAGCTCGTCGGCCGGCGGCGTGACGTTCTCATGCTTGCCGAGTGCGTCTTGGAAGATGAACGTCGGGCCAGACGCAATCGTTTCGGTCACGGGAATGTGAAAGACGCGTTGGCGGGTCGTCGTCGTCGTCATCGTGGGCGTCGTGGCTTCTTCGTAAGACGTCATGGTCGAGGCGAAATGCAAAGTGAGCTGTGTGGTTTGGTCGAAATCCTCGTGGTTGGGTGCCAGTGCGAGTGGTGTATTGAAGGATCGTTCAACATTTTCACCTTGTTGCCATGCGGTGCTGGCTTCATATCCTGCGCCGCCCACCTTGTATACATCTGCTTTGGCGCGTGCTTTTACAAAGATGTGCTCCGTGGAGCTCCTCGCGTGTGGCTAGTATTTGCACGGTGTACGTTTGGGCTGTGTGGCGCGGGTGCCAGCTGGCACGGCCATAGGATGTGCTTGGATGTGGCAGACTAGGATGTGTCACCTGCGTCCAGTCCATCTTGCCCTTTTCAGTCTGCGTGCACCGGCTGCTGCCGCCATCAAATCGTGAAACGACTATCGTAATGAAGGCACCAGACTATTAGCGGGGTAGAAAGGGCAGTAACAGCTCGCTAAAGTGAATAGAAGATTTAACAAAAGAGTAGAGTAGAAATACGCCTAACAATAGTTGCAACTATGTTTTGGAAGCGACGACGAGGACGCTAGTTACCATATCATCCGCACCCACTGAAGATGCTGGGTGTCAAAAGTGCACCTTTGGTCACAACAGTTTTTGGAAGCGTCTCAATACTGGGCTCTCCGGGTTCGTGGTTGAGCGACAACAGTACTACGTCGATAGATGTGGAGGACAAGTGATGTATCGGGACACAATTTATTGAGCCTTGGAGAGATGCATCGGATGGAGTTGTTTCTAGGTAATCCGTGTACGTACTGATAGAGATAAATTTGATATTTTACATGGCGCGAAAAGTCCACATCGTAGCGATCCGACAATGAGATGTGGACGGGCGCTGGACACACCTGGAGCCACGATGGTCCGACAACATGTACTGGCGCGTCACAAGTTGATGCTTTTGGCGCCACCAGCCGCTCAAGACACTATACAAAACAGCCTACTAGTACGAAGCAGCGTCTGTTTCCAGCTCCAGACTAATTTATCTGTTGGCGGAGAATGAGACCTGAGGCCGGAACGTCAAAGCACTGTTGAGGTCGTGACTAGATTCGATAGCGACTGTGTGAGTTTGCTTGCAGCGAGAGACGGGGAAGCGGGACGAGACGATATATAGAGGTAGAGCTACAAGAGTTGGCTACAAGCGGCGCGATCGCTACATCGTTGCACACAGTAGGACCGTCTTGGTGTTGTGGGTACATACCATTCAACAATGTTTAAAGGGTACGTGCTTACAAGCCATGCTATGCCTAGGCATCTCCACGGTCTGGCTCGGCTCGGTTTCGGCTCGAAAAATGGAGCCTGAGCCGAGGCAAAACCGACCAAACAGTCGGCTTCACGGCTCGAGCCCGACCGTGGAGATGCCTAGCTATGCCCCACGTTGGACGCCGCGCCGCCCTCTGCTTCCCCACCCTGGAGCCGCGCATACGCTCGATCTTGGGCTACTCAATTTACTGTACACACCTGCAGAGATATGGTCTGGCAACGATGCAGGAAACGATGTGATGTGGTTCCAAAGATGTACTCGTCGCTCTGTACTAGAAAGGGTTTTGTGTCCTTGGTACTAGTATCTGGCACAACTCGTCCTCGAAACAACAGACACATTATTCTCTTTACCTCCAAACCGTCAACCAGCACTTGTCCGTCCACTGCCAATGGGTAGTACTCTCGTTGTCTTTAATACGCGCCAAGTGTAGTAGACGGCGTTGAGATGGCTACCGGTACAGACGCAACGAAGTTGGTCGGCGTTGCCAAGTTGATTTTGTCATTTGCCGTACTTAGTACGCAGATAGAACAATCCATCAAGAACCATAGTGTATCTCGATGCAAATATATATTGGTTACGTGATTAGAGGTCTACCGGTATCTCGATGCGCGTACCTTAGCCCGTGATGACGCGAATGCCGCGGCTCGCCGCTTGGTGCGATGGGCGACTGTCGGCTGCTTGATGAAGATCATGCTGGTTGGGATGTTGTACTCCTCGGCGATCCACGTCACCATCACCGCATCAAAAGTGCCCTGAATCGTCCAAAAATCCGTGCTGCGCCCATGTCAGACGACAGTACTGTACTACGTCGGACATCGTAGTGTAGTTTGGGGTACATCGAGTCGAAGAGGACGACCATTTGCTGCAGCGAGTTGACAATGGCTGTCGACTGCTCGGTCGTGTCGGGGTAGACGTGTATGAGGCGCAATGTGTCCGTAATTTCGTTGTTGCGGACATAGAGAATCGCTTTGTTGAGCGTCGTGAGGTGGGGGCTCTTGATGAAAAAGAGGATGGGTTGGTCTTTAATGAACCGAATCGCACGCTCAAGGCACGACACGTTCTTGCCCTCGCGCTTAAAGAAGCGTGTGCTGTCGCGTTTGGCGATATCGGACGGCGGCGCACTGCCATGGACGCTTGGTATCTCCCTATCATCGGCATCGAGGCGCGAGGCGGACCGGCGGTAGCAGACCAAGTTGACGAGGAAAATGAGGACGCGGAAGACCGCGTTGCGCTCGAGCATGAGGAAAATCGCGCTGGAAATCGCGATAAAATAAAAGGCTAAGTACATGAGCACTTGGGGGTTCCCGAGGAGCGTTCCGAGCACACCAATGAGAACGAGAAGGCAGCCGCAAATGCACGACGCCACCTAGATCATGGTTATATATATCGGTAGAGTGTGATGTACCAGGGGGCATGCACGTCGCGGGGAATGTCGGTGCGCTTGACCTTGAGCATCATGCAGCCGACGCCAAAGAGGAACATGAGCGACAAAAACGCGTACGTGTAGACGCCCGACAAGATGACAATGTTGTCATTCAGCGCCAAGACCAAGCTCGCAGCAATGAGGAAGAAAACGAGGACAATCCAGTGGTTGGTCTTGCGGCATGCATTCTCATACGCAAAAAACCGAGGCACGACGCGATCGGTGCTGAGCCGGCGCACCAGGCCTAGTACATGGACGTGGTTTTACATTGTCGATGCAATAGACGAGCCGACCGTCGATGCCAATGTATGACGTTAGCACAGCACCCGAGAGCACGATAAAGGCGTCGACGGCGACCCACGTTTGGAGCCACGGACGATAGCATCGTCAGTTTTTTCGAAGGAGCCCACGCAACGTCGAAGGTTAAGTACAGGCCGAGCATTGTTCAATTCGAACGCTTTTATCGAGTCGAGAAGGTGTGGTTCTTGTCGACTTCTTTCAATCTAGCGGTGTAGACACTGGTTTACCACCAGGTAGATCCGGGTTCGTATCCCAGAGAGAGCCCCACTTTCTCGCATGAATTGCATGATACAGCAAATGGCGGCAGGCCCGAGCTGCAGCATGATGAAGACCAGCGTTGAACAGTAAACGAGATGATAAGATCGAGCGATGCAAACGATGAGAACCAGAAGAGAAGGACAGAACGGCAAGCCGGCGACGAAAACGAACCCGCCTCGCCTCGCCACTGGCTGGCGGACCACCAACACGATTCTTTGTCGCTCGGTCTCCTCACAAAATCAAGCAGAGACATCCCGCTATTGGGTAGCCCAAGAAAGTCCAACACCGAGAAGAAGCAGCGGCACCAAGCTTTGAGCAATGCCTCGTTTGAAGCTCAAGGACGACTCGAATGCTCTCAAAAAGTCCCTCCAGAAGTGGTCGGTTGCCGTCACGATGGCGCATGCAAGACAGTAATAGGTTGGTCGCGCTGGGCCGTGCATTGGAAACACATATCGTGGGCAACGAGCTGCACAAATGGCTGCTGTGTTGTGTGTGGCATTCAATGACCGCATATAGATGGTGATTCGATAGCAGTGTACTCTATACGGAAAGTACCAGCCTTCCGACCGTAGCATGATACCCCTTGCCCTTGCCTTCAACACGCGGCATCGAACGTGACGCCACATCCGACACATCCAACCATTGGTGGTTGTGGGTTCGTACATGACGCCCTTTCCGCACATAAACGTCTGTGCCTCATGCATTGGCTCGCCGCCTGGGGCCAAAAGAGGCCCCAAAGAGTTGCACATGTGTGGACAGCGAACGTCCCCCTTCCTTCCCATCCATCGTCATGATTCCAGTACCACTTGCTTCATAAAAACACATGTTGGCGACGACACATGAAAACAACACCAGTCGACCGATATCGACATCGCCCACTTTTGCTTTACCATGGCGACCATTCCACATTCAGCACCCCGACATCGCACACTCACAGTGACCGTACCAACCGTTCAAGGTACCAAGAACCCCTCGTTCATTTACCCGGAAGGCCAAGGCAAGCATGAGAACCTGGCGCCACCACTCATACAGCTCGTCGCGCTACGGGAACGACACAACAAGCCCAAGCACCTTCTCGGCGAGTGGCCCTCGACGGCTATCTGCGGCAACGACATCATGTCCAGCGTGCTCTACTCGTCTGGTATCGTCGCCTTGAAGGCCGGCAAATTGGCGCCCATTTGCATGGCCATGGTGTCGGTCGTCCTCTACATGTACCGCTTCATCTACGAAGAAGTGGTCACGGCGATTCCCATGAACGGCGGGTCGTACAACTGCCTCTTGAACACGACCTCGAAGCGCGTCGCGGCCGTCGCGGCTGTGCTGAGTACGCTCGCGTACACGGCGACGGCGGTCGTGTCCGGGACGTCGGCGTGCTACTACCTGCAGTTTGTGGTGCCGGATCTGCCGGTGGTCGGGACCACCGTGG